TACATCATCAGATGGAGGGAGGCTTACCAGACGGATTCCTGTCAGATCAAACACTTGTGATGAAGAGCAGACAGCTGGTGACAGTCTGTCATCTAGGAGGATTGTTCTTCTGGGTAAAACTGGTGTTGGGAAAAGTGCAGCTGGAAACACAATACTGGGACAGAATGTGTTTAAATCTGAGCAGAGTACATGTTCAGTAACCAGTGATTGTTCAAAGGAACACACCACTGTTTCAGGCAGATCTTTGTCTGTAGTTGATACTCCTGGATTCTTTGACACATATATGAACCCTGAGCAGTTAATAACAGAGATAGGGAGAAGTGTTTATGAATCCAGTCCTGGACCTCATGCTTTTCTCCTTGTGTTTCCTGTGCATATGAGATTCACTGATCAGGAGGTGCAGATTCCTCAGATCATTGAGATTATGTTTGGTCAGGAGGTGTTAAAATACTCCATCATTCTCTTCACTCATGGAGATCAGCTAAAAAAGTCTGTAGAGGAATTCATTGAGCATAACAGTAGATTAAGACATCTAGTTCAGCAGTGTGGAGGCAGATTTCGTGTCTTCAACAATGAAGATGAGAATAACAGAGAACAGGTGAATGATCTACTGCAGAAGATTGATACAATGGTAGAGCAGAATGGAGGTGGACATTACAGTAATCAGATGTTTCAAGATGCCCAGAGATTCAGACTAGAGGAAGAGGAGAGGAAACAGAAAGAGGAAGAGGAGAGAAAACAACAAGAGGAGATTGAGAGTAGGTTAAAGGAGAAAGAGAAAGAGTTAGAACATCATAAGAAGTCTAATATAAAAAGAAAACGTACAAATCCTGAATTTAACAATTTTTTATCCAAGTATGAGCCTAATTTGTCTGTGTCAGCATTTGCAGTTAGTAGAAGTAAACATATTGGTGAATTAATTGGTGGGGGCATTGGTGGTGTTCTTGGTGCACTTGCTGCATATAAATTTGGCACTGGCACTGCTGGATTAGTTGCTGGTTTCACCACTGGAGCAACTACAGGAGTAGGATTAGTTAGAGCTTGTAGCAACTAATGTGGGACAAGTTCTCATTGCCCACAGATCTATGAAGGCCTAAAATCAGATAGATTGTCCACACCTCACCTCAACTCTAAATCTCTGATCCATATTATCAATAAGCCAAAGTGGCCAGAGCAGTGAAATTACCTCATTTAATGAATGAGTCTAATATACACCCACACAAATAAAATTATCATATATATATATTGTTGTGTAATATGCATAATAATACAATTACCCTGCCTCATTGTTTAATGTATTTAGTTAATATATTATGTCTAAGGGTGTATTATTTTGTTTATTTCCTGGGAAGGCCTCATACAGGCAAATACGTAACTGCTGCATGTTGTAGAGGAAATTAAGGAATTGTCCTATTGCAAGTATGCCTTTACGTTTTATGTAATACCTTTGTATTGTAACCAAATACAATCGTTATTGGTATTGTTTTATTGAGAAAGTGGTTTATTAAGAAAGACACCACACATGATATTGTATTTGATTTATTAAGAAAGTGGTTTATTAAGAAAGACACCACACGCTATTGTGTTTGTTTTATATTTGTTTTATTGAGAAAGTGGTTTAAGTAAAACACCACACTTGTTGTTTTAAAGCGTAAAAGCAGAGCAAAGAATCCTGAAGAAGAAAAATTTGAAGATGCAAGGCCTTTTATAAACAACTTCTTAGGGGATTTCCAGTGTGATGTTACAAGACATTGGGATCCACCTGCTGTCTATAAAAGACTGAAGTGATG